ATAATTATTCTAATTATATTTTAGATTTTTTATATTTTAAAATGAGATATTTATCCTCTATTTAATTATGTTTATCCGCAGTTAGTTACACAAATCCAAACATGAAACTTTAATAAATTGTACTTATGCATAATTACTTGTAATCTAGAATTTTAAGTAATATGTATTAATATACAGTACTCCATGCATAAAAAATGATTTTTAAAAGTTTTTGTCAAATGATTTATATATAGTATAAATAAGTATTAAATTATTTTAATAAAAGTGGTGTTAACTTTTTATCATCAAGTTTTTAAAAGAAAATTATATTTGGTGCAAAAATCCGACCTACCGGATTCGAACCAGTGACCTAAGGATATCAGCAATTAACCAACTACAGTCCTCCGCTCTACCAACTGAGCTAAGGTCGGCTTGTGTCTCTTTTATTACAAGTTTTCATTCAACACTGTCTTTCTCTTGAATTCAAATCAAAAATTGGGTTTCCCCCTTTGTTAATGTTAGGGTTTTAACGAGGTTTTACGTGAAGTGAGGCCAAGAAGGTTTCGAACCATTGATCGGTTGCTGTTTCTTGTGCTCAAATCACATCCAAGTTCAATTCCTTGCCCTAATTCAGTTCAGTTTTTACCCAGTACATATCAATCATCCTATCTGTTCTCTTTTCTTCTCTGACTCATGGAAGATGGCGATGATAAAGGCGAACTTGAAGATTCTCCTGCAATCAAAGCACTTGGCTCCCTCTTTAAGCTCACTCAAGTCCACTTCTGGTATGGTTTAACTTTTTGTTACTTAAAGAATTTGATTGGGTATTTTGTATTTATATGTTTTTCAATATATGGTGAAGCTTTGCTTGTATCTAAATTATGCCTAATTTTTTTTGGGTTGTTACAGGGTCGATCTTGCTTCGGGGATACCGTATGGTTCAACTTCTCTGGAGTGCACTGTAAGTTTTTTCATCATTTAATCCTACGTTTACATGTCAAAACATGATAATTCTTGAATATTGAACTTAAAGAATTTATTTCAAATTTGACACCAACATTTTTATGTTGAAATATACTTTTAATTGCTAAGATGATTTAAAGATACCAATGGTTTTGAGTGGTAGTTATTTGGACAAGTATCGGTTTTTTAGACTTAAGAGAGGATCTCACATTTTGTCTTCATAAGCTTCGTGTATTTGGGAAACCAATTTGGATTATTCTCACAGAGACAGGAACGATTTAAAGATCGACTAAACTAAACAACCACACAGGTCCTTTGGTGACATGTTGATACATTGAACCAAAGCCTTGAAACATAACATCATTGCATCCCTGCAGCGGACTGGTCTAGTGGTAGCAAATGGGTATGGTGCTTAGGTTTCTATAGTCGATGAGGGATATTTCCTCCACATGTGTTCCCTTTTGCAGGTCTAGAAGGCCAGTGGCTGGACAAGAACACCCATCTGTGCTCCCTATATTAGATGCACTTGGACTTAATGAGTACTAAACTTGCATAATAAAAAACTAAAGAATATTTGGATTATCAACTCCATGATCCAAACACAATTCAACACCAAAGTCCAAAAATGCACCAGAGAAGATTGAAGTGGTTGGATAGATCATGTATGATGCTGCGATGTTTCAGCTTTCTTTTCTCTTCTTGATATTATCCTCACATACAGTTTTGTGATGCAGAAAACACTAAAGGATGATGTCAGCCAGAAAGGTATGTGCATTTGCATACATTGAAATCACTATCATGAATTTTTGTGGTTGGAGACTCTTAAGCAAGGGTTTGTTTGTGATATAATGTTTTGGTGTATATGCATATCGTGTTTTTAGAAAATGGGATCTGATGATTGTTTCTTTGGTTTTGTGTTTCAGATAGTTGTTCTTTACCTGTTGATACCCAATTGTCTAGGCAGATGGATGAACTTGGACTTCCTCTTTCGTTCTGCACAAACAAGGAGGTAAGGTATAACTTTTTTGCTGTTTTTCTGTTTCTTGTTGATACATCATTTAATTTATGTCTTTTTAGAATGATCTTTTGTTTCCTTTGTTACAATTTGGTCGGCTGTTCGACTATAAAGAAGACCATGCAATCACATTTCTTTAACTGGAAGGCATTCATAAAACCCGAATGAAATTTTAAGTTGATGGTCATTAGCAGACATACTGATTTAGTTATTCTGGCAATATTTTTGTTTAATTTAATTTCTTGATGTTCTTATTTTATTTGTAATTAGTTAGCTCCTTAACATGCTACGGGTTAATTACTAACTTCTATTAAGAAGGGAGGGTATAACATCTGTAAAAAGGGAGGTGGAGTTGTGTATCCTGTTGGATTTCAGTATTTCTTCCTTGTGAATTCTAAATGCTATTTATTTCGTCAATAAAACTAAACCTGGTTTTCAGAAGCGGAATGGAAAGGTCAGAGGAAAGAGGAAAGATGCCCAGAAGAAAGTTTTGCATACCCATGAAGAAGCCACAGATGAAGTCTCTGATACAATTCAAGTGAGCACGAGTGAGATTGCATCTCCTGCCATTGTCCATGATAATTTGAGCAGTTTATCATATTCTATGTCGATGCTGGGCCATAGTGAATCATCATACTGTGGCATAGCAGTTGGTGATGGTGAGTTGCAAGCATGTTGTGGAGAAGGGGAATGCTCAACAACTGTAACTGATGCTGTTTGTCTTAGTCATGATGTGAAACATAGTTCTGGTGATCAAATGTCCAAGGTTCAGTTATCTTATGACCAAGGCTCTGTAAATAGTACTGTTCTCATAAGTGATGACATGCAACTGGAAGCTACTCCTGAACATGTAGACCATGGAACTCTTAGTGACATACACGCTGTTAATGATAACAGGGAACATTCAAAGAATGGGTCATTAGAAGAGAGATTGGGAGATCCTTTGGTGGCTATTCAGAGGTCTGAAGCTCAGGAGTTCTGCAGTAAAGTAAATTTTGAGAGGCCTCAGGAATCTGATGTGGTTTTACATTCTGCTTTCACTAATAACTGTGATGCAGTTCATAGTGGAAATAATGATGAAATTGGAGATTGGATGACCTATTGGGATCAATACTACGAAAGAAATTACTATTACAATAGTAGAACTCAGGAGTCGACATGGGAACCGCCTGCAGGCATGGAACACCTAGATTTTGTTTATGTATCAAATGAGTCAAACGAGATGCTTCTTACTTCATCTGAAATGGATAACAACGCTGATGCTAATAGAAGTTATAGCAAAGAGCAAAATTTGGGTGTTCTGCAACATGATATTGCTTTATCTGATGAATTGAGCAGTGATGTTACTTCAGGGAAGCTCCATGATGAATACCGCATAGGGCTTGAGCTTGCTGTTAACAGTTTTGACAACGTTACTACTACATCCATCGTAAGTAGCTCTGACGTACATCCAAATGAACCCCTTGAGGTGAATCGAAGTTCAGAGGGAAGCTCTTTATTTGACTCACCAGATATGCTGCATTCGCCAAGCAGGTATTCTTACTGTCCATAACCATTATCTTATCTGTTGGCCATAGGTGGCTCATGAACATACGCTTCCAAATTTTGGGTAGTGTTGTGTTTAATGGTGCTGTTTTCCTTGATATCTGCATGAACAACAAGATGGTTTTACTGATATATGTCTAATGCCTTACAGGAATAGATGTTACCATACATTAAGGCTTGAAATTTCCTTGGAAAGAAAAACTCACATTTCTTGACCACTCCATGTGATCGTAGGCCACCAACTACTTTATCTCATGATGCATGCGATGGGCTTTCGACTTGTAAAGAGCATGGTGGAAATATGTATTTCTTGCCAGAGAAGTTGGATATGGAGCTTGATGCTGTCCCCAGCAAAAGAAAAAAGAAAGTGAAACGGACAAGGGCACGCAGGAGATTATCTGCTGACAATAAAGGTTTGTTACTGAAGTCCTGCATGGACATATGTGATCTTGTTCAATTATAAGATTTTGTATTACTGTCCCCATCCCGATCCCAGGATGAAAGTCCTAATTGACTTTTGAAGTAGATTAAGGAAGGGGACAAAATGAAGAAAATGTCTATACCCATGGTTTCTGTAGCTTAAAGATCCAATCATTATAGTGTTCTGGAATTACTTATCTTAGAAAATTCTAATTTCTATCTTTATAGTGGTAACCAACCCCAAATCTCCGTCTAATTGAAATTCTGATGTGAACTGCTCTGGACTCCCTGTTTCTGTTTAAAGTCTATAGAAATATATCTGTATCTGTATAATAGTGTTGCCAGTCTCTCGGTAAGAGGTAGATATGATGTTATTTAGTTTTCTAAATCAAGTCGTGTATAGTTGTCATTAGACTATAACTCTCTAGGCTGTCATATCTTCTTGTTTCTAATTTTAGGATTCCTTCCATTCTTAGTACCTTATACTCTTATACATATAGTAATATTTCTCAAATAGGGTTGGGTTCCGGTGAGAAGGAGAGTTAAGGTGAGAAGCGGAAGAAGGGATCTCTACCCTTGGATACACATTAGGATGAGATGCACTGGGATGCACCAGATCAATCCCTGTATCAAGCGCGATTCATGGGTGAGTTTGAGATTAAAGGTGATCAACGGTCCAGATCCCTTCTTACGCTTCTCACCTTAAGTCTCCTCACACGATCCTTCGCCTTCTCAAATATCAATACACACAAGAATTACCTATTATTTTGAGATGGTATTGGAGCAGGAACCCTAATTCCTGCAGACATATTTGGCCATCCCTTATTCTTCCCCAACCCTATTCTTCATCAGCCACAATACTGCAGCAGTAGTGCACAACCATGTCAGAAGTTTAAAACTCAAATCACTACCATGAAGTTGAAAGGGGAACACTTCTTGCATTGATCTCAATCTGTGGGCATGTATATTGGTGGTAAGGGTGAGATGGGTTACCTGATCGGAGAAAAGGAGGAACCTGCACTTGGTGATCTCAGCCATATCTTCTGAGATGCTGAGAACTCAGAAGTGGTTAGTGAATTCAATGGGACATAAGCTCCAATTACATGTTGTTATCATACAACCGATGAGCTTTGGGACAACTCAGCCATGCGTACTCGCATTTGGGGAATCAATCACAGGCATATGAACTAACTTTAAATTGAGGGAATTTACCACAAAGTTAGGAATTAAGTTCTTAATTTATAGATGTTACGAAACTAGGAAACTCAATTAATTTACTATATGTTAATGTTATTATTTATAGGAGATGGTTTTCTAATCAAATTGTATGGAAGTATGTATATATAAAGCATGCATGTTTTCTGTATCAATCAATAGTAGAACATTAAATCGTTCAAAAGCTTCGTGGTATTAGATCGGTAGCACGACATTGCCCTTGTGCCATCTTCTTCATCACCGACTACCAGACCCTCATAGTCGGTGAACTCATTGATACCAAATCAAACGAACCCAGTGAACCCCACAAAGAACGGTAGGATGTATTGTATGCAGACCTTACTCAATGGCTTAAAACCCTATTCCATTTATTCGTTTGGCTGCTATTTTCAGCATGCATCGGGCTCATTATTTCTACCAGATTTTGGCTCCTTTCAGCCACATCTCTGTTGCCACCGCCGTTTTTCTGACATCGCCTCTGTCTACCGGACAACCTTGACGGACGTATCTGCTGCTACTGTCAAATTACAATGAAGAACCAATCTTTTGCTTGGTTGCACTGATGTTTACCGCTGTCACTAATTTGGTTGCTTTGTATGTATATATATTCTCTGTTAATTGGTCATTACATTCTATGGTGGATGATAGATTAAAATGTATTTTTGTTTTATAGGTAGTGTTATGATATAAGTGTTGCTTCCTCTTTCTATGTAATAGTTTCATAGCTCTTGATTGACGCTTTTTACTTTCCAGAGCTTCCGTTCGAGGTGTTAATGGATGAGTTTTCTCCAATTATTAGCAAGTATTGGCATCAAAGATACATACTTTTCTCTAAATATGACAAGGGTATGCAAATGGATGAAGAAGGTTGGTTTTCTGTGACTCCAGAGTGCATTGCAAAGCATCACGCTTTCCGTTGTGGCAGTGGCGTCATTGCTGACTGTTTTACTGGAGTTGGTGGGAATGCCATCCAATTTGCATTCAGGTAAGCATTGTCATTACATTATTAGATTACTAAAAGCCTTTTAAGTTGAATTTTGATGCTCTGCGGTTGTTTGTGATCACTTGTTCCCAAAATTTGACTATGGATGTCAAAAAAGTACTCCCTCCGTCTCTAAAGAGATGCAACACTATTTGTCTCAAGGAAATGTAACATTTTTTGGAAGCGTTCCTTTCCTAATTTACTTATTTGTTATTAGCAGTCGTTTGAAGACACTAACAACGAGGATTATCATCAATATGTTTTATCAATTTTGTCTTATTGAGGTACATTTTAGGCATTTAATTAGTAGTCGGAGACTTTTGTTAAATTTTTTGCCAAGTGAAGCATTGCAAATCTTTTTGTGGGATGGAGCAATTTTTAACTTAGAAGTTGATGAGACTTGCGATGGTTGAAAAAAAAATATACCTAAATGAACCATGAAAGGGTAATCAAAATAAAGGTTATGGAGCTAAAAAGACTATAACCATCTATGCACATGAGGTCATTCATGTTTCGGATTATCGGTGGGCATTTGTTCTAAAGAAGTATCCATGATAATCCAGAAAATACTATGGCAGCATGATTGGCTTTTCTTCATATGACCAGCCTGACATGGGCATATTATTTGTGTTTGACCTTGTCATAACCTGGAGGAGGGCTTGATGTCCTGTTGGTGCGGTGGGTAAAGGTTTATCATGTTGCCTCTTTGTATGTGACCCCATGAAACTTTCTGTAATAAATTCAGTGTTTTATGATTTATTTCTGCTAATGTAATTAATAATTTAATATATCTGTTAACTTCATTCCAGAAGCGCCCACATTATCGCAATCGATATTGATCCAAAGAAGATCGAGTATGCACAACATAATGCAACCATTTATGGAGTCGAAGATCTCATAGAATTCATAAGAGGCGACTGCTTCAATTTGGCCCAAAAGTTGAAGGTATTGAAGGATATAATATTTATGTACAACAAATATTTGCACGCACTTTTCACTTTTGATGAGGTTTGAACCCTTGACCTCCTAAGAGGCTAAGGCTTTATCGGTAATCTGGATACCCCGTACTGCTAGGTCAATGACCCTTAAGGTACATAATTTTGCAATAGAAATATTTATACCTGCAGCCATTTAATTCTTATGCTCATGATTGATAAATGCAAAATTCTGTTGCATCTCCATTCTCTCTTCCCTCTATTTTTTCCCTTCTTTGTGATGTGAGGGAACATAAGAATTACATGACTGCAGTTATCTTCAAGATGTCACTACAACGAAATCCAATTTATAGGACGACAAAAATGTCCAAGTGTCATAATAGACTGCTTTATAGGACTTATGTTTATAAGACCAAACAATTGTGCATCCTATGTAAAGCGTTGCAATAAGGTTATAGGATGTCCAAAAGCATTGTATAAACTTATCATGACGCTTTACATAGGACGCATAATTTTTTGGTTCTATAAATTTAAGTCCTATAAAGCAGTTCATTAGGATACTTCTTATAAACCTGATTTTATTCTAGTGTGTTTTCTGTTAGATCTGAATTTGATGACATTCTTTTGATATTGATTTTTAAATCTTCTCAAGGCATCTGCATATTCATATGTAACATATATTACCTGCAGGCAGATACTGTCTTCTTGTCTCCACCATGGGGAGGACCTGAATATGCTAAAGCAATAAACTTTGACATCAATACCATGCTCAAGCCACATGATGGGTTCGGTTTCTTAACCTATACGACTATCACTTTCAGCTATTTATTTTTATCATATAGGGGTTTATGCTTTTAAATGTGGGCTTGTTGCAGGCAATTTCTCTTCAATGTGGCAAAAGGAATAGCTCCAAGAATTGTAATGTTTCTCCCAAGAAATGTTGACATCAACCAACTAGCGGAGCTGTCTCTTTCTGTTAATCCTCCATGGACACTTGAGGTACTTTACTAGCTTCTTGAGACTTGATATCATAGCCAGTTGTTTATTTTCCTTTGCTGGATCTTTTTGTGGTCTTATAACTTGAGATCACCCTTCTACCTCCCTTCTGGTCCAGGGGCTTTTGGGTCACAAGTTGGCATCTAAGCATATGCATTCTCATTGGGTTATTTATGTAATATGCATTCTCATTGGGTTATTTATGTAAAGTTGATACAAATTGTTTTTAGACGATAGCTCTCTCTCTCTCTCTCTCTCTCTCTCTCTCTTTCTCTCTCTCACCCCCACACACACACCTATGCATGCTCATTGGGTTATTTATGTGAAGTTCATTCAAGTTGTCATCTAAACCTTGGTCCTTACTTACATTGAAGGGAGACATGACCCTGTGGCCATTTGATGGAAATCCATAAAGTTGAAGCACTCTCATTTCACCTCTCATATATTTTTTCATTGTTTTTCGTGTCTTCCCCCTTTACCCTTTGACATTCTTCTTCCATTTCTGTGTTTGTAGTACTCAAATTCTATCATGTAGTTGGTATATAAGTGATACCAAATATTATTAGGTGAAATAAGGATTCTGAGAGAAGTTTCGAGTGGTATCGGATGAGGAAAAGCTTTTACAACACTGTCATGAGGTAGTTTTTAAATGCATCAGTTAGGAAAAGTATATTTGTGAGCAAGGAAGGTTGCAAGTGAAAGAGAGATTAGCTTGATTGGAGGAGTTGGCCTTCAAATACAACACAAGTCATGTCTATGAACCATAGGGTGTCAACTTAACCAAACCAACAGGGTATATCCCGTTAGAAAGCAGGGTCTGGTAGGTAAGATGTATGTAGACCTTAGAGCATCTCCAACAGAATATCCTAAATAGAGAGAATGGAGTTTTTCTTTTTCCAACAAAATCTCCAAAACGTTTTCCAAAATAGAGAAAAGAGGAGAGAGAAGAATTTCTTTTTCATATTTGGAGGAGAGAGAATGGAATTGAATTCCAAACCCCTCCAAATGCTATCCCGATCCTACAAACCGAACGAAATGGGACCTTAATGCTTTCTACTTTAACGGCTTCACATTGTTTTTTTGGCTCTATTCACCTACGCCAACGAGCTTGTGGTGCACACGTGATTCATCTCTCGTGAAAACACTTTTGAGTCAATATTTTGCAAATTTGTTGAATGATATTAGATTCATCTTGATATGTGTTTCAGGTGGAGAAGAACTTTCTAAATGGAAAGTTGAAGGCCATCACCGCCTACTTCAGCGATCCATCAGTAAAAACGAGCTCAGATTCATGACAAGAAGACCATGTTGTGATCGTGGGTGATAATGATAACAAATATTTAGCGAATTGATATTTTCTTGTATGATACATGAACCACAATGTTCAAACATATGTATATATAGAGTGAGTGTGTGTTTAGTTAATTTGTTAACCTAAAAAAGTATTAATTTTATGAACTTTTTAGACCAATAACAATCCATTTTAGCGTGAGATTCTAATATTATCCAAGATATTAATGTTAAGGGTATGTGTGTATTTTTTTTTATATAACTTCTATATCATTAATTGGAGGTTGCATTATTATAAAATCCCATGATTTTTGTCTTTTTAATATTGTTCTTAATTTTCCAGATTTTTAATGATTTGGTCAAGGGTTGAGTAACATAATTTTATTATAATATTTATAATTTTGTGATTGGTGGATGAGACTCGGTAGTAAATTAAACATATTTTTCATAGGTGTACAATGTTCACTGTCTGTTAACGTAAGTAAACATATTTTTCGTAGGTGTACAATGTTCATTGTCTGTTAACATATGAAAAGATAGAACAACCAAATGAACTTTTATGAACATATGTGAATATCTAAGCGATGCACATAACAAATGTGAACATATATGAACGTTCAAACACATTGTTCATTGTTTATAATTGTTCATGAGTGAACCCATGTTCATATAGAAGGGGAGATGTTCATGTATATATTAATGTTCATAATGATGGATATTTTGTTATTCATGACAAAAATTAATACACATAGGGCGGTTACAAAGCATTAATATACACATGGGCAGTTACAAAACATCCATGTCTTTTATGATTTTTTTCCCCTATAATACCCTTGTTCATATATGTTCATCTTAGATGGTAACGTATTATATTATGAGTTATTACAAAATTGTCATCATAAACGTCATCCATTAATTTACAAAATGAATGTTTGTGATAAATTCATAAAGTTAACACTATAAATTGGGTTAACAGAAGAACCTCCTCCTATATCTATACTATATATATAAACATGCTAAACGATTAAGAGTTGAAATTGAAGTGTAACACCCCACATCTCACATTGCATATTACACATGATTCATTCAAAGAAATACATGTATTATCCCACTAAGATCCATAGTACAAGAAATTAAGATACAAAATACACAACTCAAAAATTCCAAAATACATGTTCTTGTACTACATAACATTCAACTTCAAAACACATCCATAAGCTGATCTTCAAATAGTTATGCACATAGAGAAACAAATTATATTTTCCCTTTTCCTTTACTATCATTGTATCCAGCTGTTCATGCAATACATATTTAAAACAAAATGAGGGTTAGACCTGAAGGTCTAGTGAGATCCCTTTTTCCATGTCATTGCAGAGTGAAAATCATCAAAACATTATTAAAATCAACTTCTCATATAATGAGAACATAACTTCATCATTTGCAATAACCAGCATACCTCTGGTTGTAAAACCAGACTTAGAAAGATTTTCATCAAATAACAAGACTAGAGCCCCTCTGGTTACTTTAACAAGAGCTTTTGGTTATACCAACCAAAGCTCCTCTCAAGTTCAACTTCCATAACTACCAAATCAAGTACAGAGGATGAATGAAATGGTTTCCGAAGTATAAAAGAGTAGATTAAAAAGTTCATGTATGACCAGAGCCTCTGGTTCTACTAACCAGAGCCTCTGGCTCAAAAACCACGACCAACCAGAGCGTTTGGTTCAACTATAAAGACCAACCAAAGCCCCTCTGGTTCGTTCTTCTTTGCTAAAGTCTTTTTGTATAAGTATTTTGAAATACAAATTTAGACACAGCCTCCATAAACTATATACAGAGCCTCTGGTCTAGGTAATGTTTTGTAAAAGACTTGTAACATATGCAAATATCAACCAGAGCTCCTTTGGTTCTATATAAGGAACATCCAGAGCTCCTCTGGTTCCATATGAGGAACAACCAGAGCCTCTCTAGTTTCTCATAAATCATACACTTTGTCAAAAACATAATTATCCAAAACCTTTGGCCATAAGCCAAGTTTTCTTCTTCTCAATAACATCATTACTACCATTTCTAATAAGAGCAACATTCTTGAGTCCTCAAATCACAAAAAAGTAAGAACTCAAAACTATTGCAATCTTAAGAGACATAATAGCAAGAGCTATAATAACAATCACACATACAACTGCCACCCTTTATATCTAATGGTACACCTCTTCTTGATATGCCACCCATATTCCATGGTGTGTCTCTTCTTGATATGCCACCCTTATTTACTCATCAAAACTATAGATTAATTTCAAACAAGACAGACTGAAGTCACAACCGTCTTGTAGAATCATCCTCTATAGTTTTAACCAATAACAGTTTCCAAAACAGTTTTATCTCAAAACTTGGAAACTCAAGAACCAACAGTTCTATATTGTCATTTTCCAAACTCAAAACCCCTTTAATACTTAAAAATAGGATATCATCTTCAATTGTTTAAAAGAAGCAGAATATTCTTCATAATACCAAAACAGTTCCAAAAACTCAGATTTCAAAAACTCAAATCAACTGTTAAAAATAGTTTTCCTTTCTTCATCAAATCATCTATTGAAAATCATGTATTTCGAGTAACATCATTTAAGGATTTTCAATAACAAATACTCATCTTAATATGCACAGATTTGATGATAAATCACAGAACAACTCTATTCACTTTTATGCAGATTTCTTTCAAGAACACTTTCACCGCCACACACACTCTTTTTCTTCACAAAGATTTCTCCAAAAAGGATAAGATAAAACTTATCTTTATCTTCTTTATATATATCGTAACAAAAGCGGTGGAGGTTTTATTATTTAAACCTTCCCTTTCTTAACCACGAAGGTGCATACCTTTATATTTTAATAATTTCCCATGTATGCATTTCATCATGCGTGCACACACATATACATTTATTCACATTATGCATATATATATATATATATATATATATATATATATATATATACCTCATGCATAAAATTCTCATACTTGCATGATCAAATATAGCAATTTATCATGCTCTCACGTAATCATATAACAAATAATCACGGATTGATTACCTCGGATGATAACCAAGACCCAATTATCACATGAAGAGGTACATATTCTTTTGCATGAAGTAAAGTTTTGAAGCTAAACACCTCCAATATTAAAATCAAATTATTTTTAATTTTTAAGTTACATTTTACACCCTTATAATTAGTTATTTAATTTACTTTATACCTCTTTCTTTTTCATTTTTTATTTTATACAATTATCATATTATCATACATAATTGTATATTAACTAAAATATATTAAAAAATACATTTCACTTTTTACAAATTATACAATTATAACCGTCTCATGAATACCTTCAGAATGAGCCTGATATTGAATATTTTTTGAATTAATCTCATATTATTAAATAACATAAATACGCAGTGAATTATTTTTAAGACTTTCATTTTACACCTTATAGTTATCATATTTAATTTGTTTTATATATATATATATATATTTTTTTCATTTCTATTTTACACCCCTAATTTACAAATTTAAAGTTGTAGAACCATAACTTTAAATCTCCACCTCCCAAGATAATATCAAAGAGCAAATATTTCTTATTTTTAAATTACAATTTATATTCTTATAATTAGTTATATAATTTGTTTCATACCACTTACGTTTTCATTTTTCATTTTACATTTTTATCATATTAAAATAAATAATCGTAT